GAGGAACTGTATTAAAGGGTCACAGCATTAGGAAGGGTGAGAACCACTGTCTAGACCATCCACATGAGGAACTGTATGAAAGGGTCACAGCACTAGGAAGGGTGAGTACCACTGTCTAGACCATCCACATGAGGAACTGTATTAAAGGGTTGCAGCATTAGGGAGGTTAGAACCACTGTCTAGACCACAACATGAGGAACTGTATTAAAGGGTCACAGCATTAGGAAGGGTGAGAACCACTGTCTAGACCATCCACATGAGGAACTGTATGAAAGGGTCACAGCACTAGGAAGGGTGAGTCCCACTGTCTAGACCATCCACATGAGGAACTGTATGAAAGGGTCACAGCACTAGGAAGGGTGAGTCCCACTGTCTAGACCATCCACATGAGGAACTGTATGAAAGGGTCACAGCACTAGGAAGGGTGAGTCCCACTGTCTAGACCATCCACATGAGGAACTGTATGAAAGGGTCACAGCACTAGGAAGGGTGAGTCCCACTGTCTAGACCATCCACATGAGGAACTGTATGAAAGGGTCACAGCACTAGGAAGGGTGAGTCCCACTGTCTAGACCATCCACATGAGGAACTGTATGAAAGGGTCACAGCACTAGGAAGGGTGAGTCCCACTGTCTAGACCATCCACATGAGGAACTGTATGAAAGGGTCACAGCACTAGGAAGGGTGAGTCCCACTGTCTAGACCATCCCCATGAAGAGCTGTATTAAAGGGTCACAGCATTAGGAAGGGTGAGAACCACTGTCTAGACCATCAACATGGGGAACTGTATGAAAGAGTCACCGCATTAGGAAGGGTGAGAACCACTGTCTAGATGGATGATGCTAAGAATATCCCTCAGGTAACTAATACCAATCCACGGGATTAAGGTAGAGCAAGAGAACTTCTGAAGTACAAGTGTATGAGAGGAAAGAGACTTAGAGAAAAGCACTAAGTGAAAGTGTGGGCTTCCCTTCTAGGACTTCTCTAACATGACCCTTTGCCACCCACATATGCTGTAGGCTATAATGACAGTCTTCAAGAGGAAATGAATGTAGATTGTCCTCCGGGACAGTACTTCATCCAAGATGGAGATGAAGATGAGGACAAGAAGGCCTGCCAATTTAAGCGCTCCTTCCTGAAGAATTGCTCTGGGCTGGAAGACCCTACTTTTGGATACTCTACCGGACAGCCTTGCATCCTCCTCAAGATGAACCGGGTATCTTAGCCCTTGGGTTATGTTGATGATAAGTGAATGCATAGGGTAGGAGAGTGTGGAACCCACATTTCTGTCAGACTCTGGTATTCACACACTGCAGGTTTGGCCATTTTTAGCCGTAACATCAAAAATGCAAACAACCAGAAATTCATTTTTCCTGAACATTTCCTAGTGTCCTTCTTTCCCATACACAAACCTGCCCCTTGAGGGCCACTGATTGAATGTCATGGAGTGTTTCTCTAACCTCAGCACTCAGGAGGCAGAGGCAGGAGTGTCTCAAGATCCAAGCCAGACTCTGTCTCAAAAAATAAAATTGGGGTCCTGGGATATTTGGAACACTGGGTTGATGTGGGGACATGATGGAGAGCAATTATTATGTTTTCATATCACTTAAAAAAGCACTGTTCCGGGCTAGAGAGATGGCTCAGTGGCTAAGAGCCCTGGCTGCTCTTCTAGAGGACCTGGGTTTGGTTCCCAGCTTCCACATGGCAGCTCACACTGTCTGTAACTCTGGGTCTCAGGGGATCCAAAACTCTCTTCTGGCCTCTGCAGGCATTGGGCATGTATATGGTGCACACTCATACATACATGCAGGCCAAACAGCCACGCACATAAAAATAAATTAATAATTAATTTTTAAATGCACCTTTTAAAAAAGCATGCCTTCCTTACGGAGTGGCAGAATCTTTTGCCAAATATAGTCTTATTAAAACTAGGAAGTTCTTTACATCCTTTTGGTTATTTTGCAGCAACATTTTTTTCCCTCTCAGTATGGACCTAAGACACAAATATATCAAGGAGCAAGCTGGGCTATGTAACTTTGAAGTTCTTTGTAGCATTTCTGAAAGGGGACATAGATGAAATTTATGTGTGAGAAGTGAGGAACAAAAGCAGGGAGGAAAAATCCATTTTTGCTGTGTAATCTGTTTCTTAAGAAGTTAAAAAAAAATAGGCTGGGTGGTAGTGGCGCATGCCTTTAATCTCAGCACTTGAGAGGCAGAGAGAGGCAGATGTTTGTAAGTTCAAGGCCACCCTCCTCTACAAAGTGAGTTCCAGGACAGCCAAAGCTTGAAAACCGAGAAACCGTGTCTTGAAAAACAACAACAAAAGAAAACATTCAACATCCTTAGTCAACAGGAAAATGTTAATCAAAACTGCTTTGAGAGTTCATCTTACACCTGTCAAAATGGTTAAGATAGAAAATGACAACTCATGCTGGTGAGGATGTGGAGTAAGAGAACACTTATCCATTGCTGTTGTGGGTGCAAAAGAAAGACAGGTCTTGTGTTCCAAGGACTTCTACATGGGTGGTGGGTAGGAAAATCATTAGTGTATTTCATAAATATTCTTCCTTTTAGTGAATTATTTGCTTCTTTTTTGCAGGAAGCATTCAGTGTGTGTTCATGAGCGTGTGTGTGTGTGTGTGTGTGTGTGTGTGTGTGTGTGT